GGCATTCCAACTTCTTCTTCAAACCTTTTACATGCGTTGATCCGGGCCTTCTTCTCAGCTAGCTCCTTTGAGATCTCATATTTCTCGGTGGCCATTTCTATCTGTTCTCTCACCCTTTTCTCTTCTCGCTCAATTTCAATCTTTTTCTCTTCAATTTGCTCCAGAGCTCTTCTATTCGCTATGTCCAAATCCTCCTTTACCTTAACCATGCTCATTTTAGCCTTAAGGCATGCTAATTCTTCTTCCAAATCAAGTCTGCGTTGTCGTGTAGACGAAGCGGTGCTCATAGTAGAATGACGAGATGATTTGCTTTTCCCAGATTTTCGGCTATATTTTGATGACGCCATGGAACATCTATCATCGTCAATTTTCTTTAGGTCGCATATAACCGCACCCACTTCTTTAAGTATCTGATTGGTTTCTTGACTCATTGTCTCGAATCTTCCGAATACAGTTATTCTTTCCATTTCTGACTCCAGAGTCTTATCTAGTCTTTCTTGCGCTTCAGTTAGTTCACGCATTAGCCTTATCAATGCTTGGGAGCCCTTCTCCAGTAATTCTATATTTCTATCATTTACTAGTTGGTAGTTCAGATTGTTAATTTGCCTTCTCCAGTTCCTTGAAGCTGCATGAAAATCATTTTGCAATTGCGGTAAAGACTTATCTTCAGTTAATTCTACATTTTCTCCACTGGTTTCGTCCATTTTGTCGTTTCCCTCAATATTTCGCGACGGATTTTCGTATTTCTCAAAGTTACGCAACATTCACGAACGCGAGCCGATGAATAACCGTCGATTTCCGATACCGTTCAAAATGGCGCCAAAACAACAAGCGTGGTCAACACAAATTCGCAAAAATTGTAATTATGTCGATGAATTTCGCTCAATAAATATCAAATTTACAAGTAGATGCAAAAGGTAAAGTACATAAACGATTGCTGACCTTCCAACGTAGAATATCTTTAGTTTCTGACTTGCTGTTCGTACATATACGTAGAGTTTCGTTTTACTATAACTCCCGGCACGCAATGTTCGCAATTTGTGCCTGCTCGTTGCCGACATTGTTCGTTTGAATACTGACAAGCTAGTAAGTTAATACTGATTCGCACGATAAATTTACATCCAATTCGCAATGTGTAGATTTGGTTCTTTAATATTAATCACGATAACTTGACGTAAAACTACAGATAACAAACATACGAAATACATAAGGAAATATAAGCTACGAAGTATAACAATACAAAGCAATTACATATATAAAGAGACTGACCGAATTTCCTCTCTTGGCGAGCACGCACAACTAAAATATATCTAAAGTTTCTCTCAGTAAAATCGAGTTCTTTCTATAACAGTATAAACGTTCTTCGAGTAAAAGTTTTTCAATCCTTCGAGCCCACGAACATGTCGCACACATGAGCCCGCAGTTACAGCATATACTGTACATCGCAGTGATCATACGGTTCATACCATATGTGTGCTTTTACTAATTTAATGACGGAAATGTGCATCTAAAAGTAAAAAAGTTCAACGAATAGAACACCACAATTCCACTACAACAAAAAATTTCGGCCACGCCCAAAAACATGTGACCATGACCACGAAAATTTGTGGCCACACCCACAAAATTACTTTGGACGGCCACTTTTGAAATCCTGGCTAACACCCTGCCAGGATCAGGGGGTTTCCTGTTTTGCTGAAGCTGTAGCCTGCACTGCTGGCCAAATTGGAAACCCCCTGGGCGCGATGTGTTGATTGATTGAGTTCGCCGAACCAATCGGACGCCTAGGGTCAGATTTTGACCCTAGACATCTGATTGGTTTATCGGGCCTTATCGGCAAACATCAATAAACGTTTGTTGTATTCTATTCTATTTATACTGGTCGACAAGTGAGTGCATTTCGTTAACAAAAAGCGATTGTTCGTGGAAACGTTTATGAGGAGAATTTGTTGGTTGTCGTCTCAGACGAAGTTCATGTTATCCCTAAACAGTTGGATCAAATAGCGTCATTGCAGACATATTAATATCACGCTATGACGATGCGATGATTCTGTATATATGTCGAGTAATTGAGCGGAATTTTGTCGCGTGTATGTGGTCGTGTTGTGCTGTACAGCCTGTACTGTATGCTGTACTGTGTATGTTCAACTGTTTTTCGTGTACTTTGTTGTTTTAAAATTGTGTAGCCCGTATTGTGGAATTTATGAGTATTTATGAACAAAAATTCAGTCGTGGCAAGGCATTTTATATTATATTATTTATATTATATTATTTTGATATATAAATATACACAAATACAAAACCTAACTCACTAACTGCATCTATATAAATAGTTGTCGAATAAAGCTCAATATTTTGGACACAAAAATGTAAACAAAGGCTTTGTTTACATACGGACTGTAGATCACCTTTAACAATAATTTATCCATTACTTATTATTAAAGGGGGATAGCAATG